GCTGGGTTGGAGGAGGGCTTAGCAAAAGAAAATGGTGCCCATCTGCTGGTTCTTTGGGGGAGGGCAAAACAAAAGGGAAAAATGATGTCTTTAGGCACTTAAATCCCAAAAGAGTTGCCCCTCCAGCCTTTGTCCTAAAGCCAGACAATTTGGTTTTTCCCTGTATGTCCCAGGTGCTTTTTGAGCTGCTGCCCTAGTACTGTAGCTCAGAGTGAATAAGTCAGTAAGTAAGTACATGTGCTGTCTATTTAACAAGAATGCCTGGGTTTACAGCAGCCCTCTGCCTTATTGGAACAGAATTCCTCCTGATTTTCATGGCTAGATGTTGTGTAAATTCCTCTTCCCAGCACTGATGGTCTAGGCTGGAAAACTCAGTGTGAGTTGGGACTGCTTGCTCCTGAGGGGGACCACAGCCACAGAGATATCCCTCTCGATTCTCAACCACCACACATGGATGTGAGACCAGCACATTTCATGTCTCCACCCATCCTACCAGTCCTGATGTGGCTTTTTCTTTATATCCTTAGTTATAGAAGTTTCATCTAGCTAGTCTTCAGGTAGTTCTTAAGGGTGATTGTTCTACAATTTAATTTTAATTTTAATGTAATTGTGGGAGGAGGCAAGCACAGCATTAACCTACTCTGCCATCTTGACTGGAAGTCTAAACATCATAAACATTTATGCATTTGATAATCACAGTCAACATCTACAAAGTATAAAACTTACAGAAGTGAAGGTAGAGATAGATAAATTAAAATTTAAAATTTAAAAATATTGCTAGTAATTTTAATACCCATTTAAAAAATGGAAGAACAAATTTAAAAAATCAGAATATACAATATGAGAGAGAGAGAGAGAAAGAATGAGAGAAGTGTAATCTTTGCTTTTTGAGGTGCCTTGTAAACTGAAATTTGTACTTTACCACTGTTATCTCAGTTGTTATGAAACTATGCAAAGTGAGGACATGGCCACAGTATGCATATGTTTCAGTTAACACATGAGATAGATAGACACATACATACATACATACATACATACATACATACATACATGTAGATATAGATGTTTATATATACATTTTCTCTATATAAAATATTCTTTATCTCCAGCTAGATGATAGATAAGATAGATAGATAGATAGATCCCTATTCACAACTAAAATACACATTCTTTTTGACCATACATTGAGCATTTACAAACACTGAGCAGGTTTAGGTCACTGAAGAAGACTCAAAACATTCCAAAGAACCAATTTTATCATATCATAATTGCTAACCTCACACAGATGGAGCAACCTAGAAGATACAAAAGAAAATATATGTCCCCAGGCACCAACCTATTGGGGGTACTTCAGAGATGACATTTTAGAGAATTTTTAATTTTGCTCTGAATTATCTCTTGATTTGCTGAAGTTTGAATGCATGAGTATACTTAGTTTATGTTTTAAATAGCTCAGCAAATTATAACATGGCATAAAGATAGTATGTTATAGCATAGTATGATAATTATATAATTTGTTAAAATTCTAAATTAATAAGCCAACTAATTTTGCAAATTATGAGCACATTATGCCACTTTATGTATTCAATTATAGTTTCATGGTTCTAATTGTATATTTAGTTTATGTTTAGGCCATTTTAATAAGGTCTGTTTCCCAACACAGTCAAAGGAATGGCTGTTTTTAAAAATTTATAATCTTGAAGAGAATTTTAATATATTAAATTTTACATTAATATTGGAATGTAAAATGAAGAGGTCAAAAATACTTGAATATATAAGTTCTCATTAATTTAGCATTCTAATGACCAGAGGTATTAATTGTATTCTTCAACTTATGTATCCTAACACAATTATATAATACTGTTCCCTTAGTGTAGGTAAGCCATGGGCATTGCTGAATCTTTAACCATAAGTACAGGATTCATAAACACTTAGATTTCACTTGTCAAAGTCAAAAAGGCATTACTGAATAAATAATTGCAAAACTGTTTCCTGAAAATGCTGATTTCCAGCCAATTTTCCCCTATGTACTTTTTTTTAAACCAAATCATAAGCTTGTGCCTATTTATTGACATTTTAAATGTCTTTCCAGGTCCTTATTGGTTTGGTAAAAAGCTTTTATCTATAATGTACAATTAAAACAATTGAGTACACACTAACAGTCAAGCCAGGCTTCATTCGGCCTGGCAATGATGGGAATTTGCCATGATGCATTCTGAGAACAGAGCTACCTGACAAATTAAATCAAGACACAATGTATTGCTCAAGAGGCAGTAAACACACAGGATCTCATTAATTCTGCTCAATGATCCTGAGAAGAACATTGTAATTTTTTTCCTCTCTATTTTGGAGATAAGGAACCCGAAGCTCTGATGACAGCTCTGATGACAGTTCGCCAGTGGGACAAAACCAGGTAAAGTTGTCACTGAAACCACATGATCTTTTCCTATTCTATGCTGCTAGGAGAGAGAATCCTTCATTACTCTCATATAGTTCACAAAGCACTTGATAAATGATGGCAAACAAATGCAATTTCACTGTTATAATAATAAGAAAACTATTATTATTATCCCATCACTGGATTCCTGGCTAAGGACATCATTGATGACTTGGTGACAGTGTCAGTGTGTAAGGCCATACGTCCCCCTATACATATCTTACTCTCTATGGGAGAAGAAAAGTGATGTTTGCCTGGAGAGCTCTAAAGTTTAGAGCTGAAAGCATCACAAACCTGGGCTCACATGGACATTTAGGTTGTCCACTGATGGGGAATGGCTCATACCTGATATTGCACTGGAATGTGAAGAGATGTTCCAATAGTCATTATAGGGTCTGCTGCCAGAGAATAGGCAGCTATGTGGCCTTGGGAGACATTGAATTGGTTGTGAAATAACAGATTAGATGAAATCACCACCTCTAGAATTAATTTCATAATTTCAAATTTATGAGATTAGATAAAATCACTACTTCTATGATCTGGTTTTTGGCAAGGCACTGCAAATCTGACAGATATGTTACAAAAGACCTATGAATTATGAACTTTTAAGATTCACAGATAATTTCGGATTGCGAAATTATTTTTGAAATGTTATGCCCCCCAAGCGTTGTCATTTTGCATTAAATAACTTTACAGTTATCTATGTGTGGCTACCATGAGAAGAACAAACTGTCAAATTCAGATATGATGAGCTGTATTTACTTCTGTCTCAGTAAAAGTGTCATATTAACACCAGATCTTATTCATTCACGGAGTTTCATGGCAATACTGCTGACTACCCTTCTTTCCTCTCTCATCTTCTTTGTAGGCTCCCAGTTTTTGTTCCACCTCTCCAACATTCTGCATCTCCTTTTTTGAGTTCCTTCTCTGCCTCTCTTTGACAGTTTTCTGGTGTACTCTTTCCATGCAATCCACAAGTGACCTTATCTACTCTCAAAGTACCAGTTACCCCAAGTCTATACCCCTGTCCCAGATGTAGGGCTGAGCTCCAGCTTCATCATTCCATCACCATGGATGAGTGTCCTTCAGATGCCTACTTCCATCCTCCTCATGCTCCTTTTCTAGCTGTTATCTGACCTGGGGAATGGATGACATTGACACTCACCACTGCAGAAAGGAACATCTGTAAAGAATTGATTCAAAACTAGATCTCAAGCCAAAACCCTAATTGCTTAAGGTGGTAAATAAGTAACACTTATAATTAAAATAGGGATAGGTAGGAGGGGGACTATGGCAAAACTGAAGAATGTAGGCCAGTCTAAAGGGATAAGCTAATGCTTAACTCCAGCTGACCTGAGCCATATACATTTACAAGCCCAGTCTGACAAACTGAAGGCTTTTATGAAGGAAGATTGGAATTAAGATATTCATGTGAAAACTCTACATTTTTAAATGTGATAACCAATCAAATTTAAAACAATATGGACTGAACAAAATAAGCTTGGTGGTCTATTATTTTGCAAGCTCTGTAGTAGATCAATGGTATCCAAACACTTTTATTCAAGAACTATTTTTAAAGCAAATTAAATTTTCCTGTTTGGTAGTCCAATTTAGCTAGTAATCACTATTTGTAAAAATCTCAAAAATTATGTTTCTCCATCTTTATAATAATATGTGTATTATAAATACACTAACCAAACTGATTGCAAAACCTTCAAGATAGCCAAAAATATTTCCTTAAAAGCTATTCAGATCAGATGCCCTGTATTTTATCATAAAAACAGTCCCAGTTGTAAAATATTCATAACAATCATTAGTTTCTGTGATATTCAATGATGTTAAATCTAGAATTGCATTTCTGAATGTGTAAATGTTTTATTGCGCAGACTGAATACAGAAGGCCTGGCCTCTGTTGAACTTGATACCTGACTCTAGTGGTCCCCCTTCACTTGCTGATTTGCAGTGTAATTGAGTCAATTTTCACCACATCTGATTCTATCACGTAAAATAGATGAAACATGTTTTTCATATAACTTTAATTTTGTAATTTCAAATTTATGAGATTTATGTTCTCCAGCACCATGAACTTGTGTAGTCATTTTCCTTTTAGTCATCATACTATTCCTTAGCCTGTGGTATGCTTGCGTTCACTGTCTATAGTGAAAGAAGTAACACAAAGCAATAAGAATGTTGAAAGAGAAAGTGAAAAAGGGGCCTATAATCATGTTAAAAACAACAGTGAAATTAACTCTACATAGATGTGCAAATGGTAATGATGTTTGTGTTCAACCACTCCTCACCCTACTACTTTATGATTTTCTTCCATTGAATAGAGACACCAACAGAAGCCTTAGTGTGTGGTCTTCAGTGTGTTAAAATTTGGTGAATAACACATTTGATTGCAAATTGTGCATTTTAATTAAATTATAGAGTTTACTGAAATATTAAAGCATACATAAGAGTGAATTATGAACTTGTATACTTGTTGAATGCCCAAACCACATTCCTAAGACCATAATATCTGTGGCACACTGTTAGCTGGTCTAAGTGCTATTCTACTCACCAATGAGATACATTCCGATCCAGTCTCCAGCATCCACTTCCTCCTTTATATCCCAGTGAATAACCAAGTCTTGCGAGTGCCCTATGGAGTAGTAGGAGCTGCTGACCATGAGAGTGGAGCGGCTGTCTGAGGTGACCAGGTCGGTGTCACTGGTGGAGCGGGGGATGGTGACAGTGCCATGGGGGCCCGTCCTGATAGCCATGCTGTGGAACTGGCTGGGGTTGTAGCTGTGACGGAGAGGCTCCTTGCAACGGCGTCGGTTCTGGGAGTTTCTAGATGGAGATGCCATGGCGGCCAGGCCCAAAAACCTGTTCTGGTACAGATTCTGTGGGGGCAAATAGACAATCAGAAGGGGTGGGAGATGCTAGCTATAATGTCACTAATTTCATAGGAAATGAAGAATGTGCATAGAGAAAGGAGTGAGTGAGTGAGAAGCCCCCTAGAAAGATTCGAAACACATGCTATGCCTCTGGGTTCACACGGAAAAGGCAGGAATAAAAATATGAGCTAATCAAGGGGCCATGCATCTCCAGCTTTGTTGTAGCCTACCTCTCCCAGCTACCTCTAGCCTGCTTGGTATTAGAAAGCCTGTATGTGTGCAGAATGGTCCTGAGGGTGTGATTGCCCCCAAAGTGAAATCTCTTGAGTTCTCCAGCATCAATACAATTGAATCCAATTTTATCTTTATTTAGAGTAAGTGATGGTTATTATCACTAAATATTTTAGTGATCCCTGCAGCTTTCAAGACACTACACATAGCTCTGAATCAGAAGTGGTTTCTGCTGGGTGAGGTGGTGATTCCCAGCACCAGTCTACTCTAGATTATATAAGTCTATTTAGCAGTAATTTAGGCTTGTACTTTTTCAATCTTCCAGGACCAGGGCACTTGTAAAAAGTCCATTAACCTGAATAAAGCCCAGTGTTTTCATTCTGAGTTTCAGTCCTTCATGATCATGTAGCTTGCATTTTCATTCATCATTTGAGTTTCTTGTTAGGAATTACTCTGACCTCACTGGTAGTAACCATGGAATTACTATAGGCAGAAAAGCCAGACTTCAGAAAGCATCTCAGTACACTACTGGTACTATATGTCTTATTTTAAAAATATACTTGTCACTGCATTTTGAAAACTGTATGAAAACAGATGGACCATGGTGTTGCCTGGAAACCAGTCCTCCTCTAAGGAACATAGGTAAAGCCTTAAACCCAAGAAGCATTAATAATCCACCCACCTCACAGTCACCCTGGCTCTTCTGGGAAGTTCAGAGAGGATCTCTGTAACCTAACCAGTGTCCTGGGCACTTTGTTCAGAGATCTTTGTAAAATCTGCCCCCCCCGCAAAAAATAAAGACTGCTGTTAGAGAACACTTCTTCAGCTTGCATATACTTTGCAAGGAGTGATAATGTTTTACAATATTATTATGGAGATTAAAAGCTACTTGGAATTAAAAACCAAAGTCAAGTATATGAGTTAGACCAAACCATATTCAAGTTTGCTGAAGCATCAATCAACTTCTAAGATGTGACTCCCTAAAAAATTTATATAACCTTTTAGACCTCAGTTTCCTGATCTATAAATGGGTTGTCAGAATTTAATGAGATAAGGAAAATTAAGCTCTTATCAAAGTGAGTGCTCAATAAATAAAAATCTGCTACTAAAATACTAGTAAACTAGTATTACTTTAGTAAGAAAGCCTCACTGAAATGTAGGTCCTGGGCAGTTAGCCAGGCTCACTCACTGGCCAAGTATCCCCTCACCTCAACACCAGAGCCCTCATACTGAGGATCATTCTGAAGTAGTCTTGGCCCTCTACTGTTCCTTACAAAATTAAAATTGCAAATGTATTTGTAATGATGGCCTATACACTATTATTTTTTTGCAGGGTCCTCCCTTTATTTGTAAGTTTTGTGCTTGAGTAGGAAATGTTTGCATTGATGTTGAAAAGAATGAGAGATAGATTTTTATCCATGTACTGTCAGTCAGGGCCTCAAAAAAAGATTAAAGAGTGCTTTTCTTCTGTTGAAGATATTTCTGCTGTGGTATTTTTACCAGAATTCCCTGGAAATCATTTAGCACTCCTGAAACTATTTGTCAAATCACATCAGTGATCACTGGCCACATGGTAAGAATAATTAGTTAAGGGAGATATTGTCAGTAATTTACTAGAATGAAATAGTGACATTTGCCTGGAATAAGAAGGGCAGCCTCAAGCTGTTTCTTGAAAACCATGCTCTTCTGGTCCCCCACCCTATCTTTGCCCACATTCTCCCCATTTATATTTGTAGGCAGTATTCATATTTTGAAATTATGCTTTACCATCAAACTTACTGTGAACTTTCTTTGCATCCTTTCCTGTTCTCAAGAGAATGAGCCTTTCTGCTCCATGATCCCACAAGAGTCCCATTTCCCTGTAAGGATTTTTATTGTGTTATTGCTAGTCGTCCTGTCCATGCTCATCTCTATGCTGTGAAGACCTCGAGGCCAGTGTTCCTTCATCTTTTATATGCCCCTGGACCTGGCAGAACTACTAGCATTAAAAAAAACCTCAAAGCTTTAATTAATATAATTTATTTTATTCAATTATGCCCCTTCTTTTTCTAAAAAGGGTTTAAGGTGGCTATTAGAAGTAGATAAAATACAGAAAAACATGGTAAGTTATTAGTAGATGGTGCAGATAGAAACGAAAATATGGAGACACAAAGTTATGTGAGAAAAAGGTAACATAAAACTATATTCACCGCATTCTAAGGGGTGTTACTATTAAAGACTCACAACAGCTGCTTCCTGAATGCAGCAAGTGGATAGTTGATTCCTGACCAGTAATTCCTTTGTGGCCATGTTGCCCCCAGGCATTCACAAGTGTTCTAGTTTACACTATAGATTCATCTGTTGACAGAAGCAATTTAATCATTCTCCCTTCACACCTGAAGATGGGAGATAGATGAGAATCTGTCCTGTTTTTAAAAAAGTTCTGGATAAACAACCTCTCTTCTTAGACAATGATTCTAATATTTAACAACCTCTCGATTCTTCCTAATCTCTGAGGCAAATCTGATTTACAGAAACCATGCTTCTCCTTCCTCTCTGCAAAGTGAAGTGGCTCCCCATTCTCTGAGGAGAAAGTTAACTGGTATCATTAAATTGCTCCCAGTTTTTTCTTTATCCCATCAAATAATTCAAGTGCCTATTATCTCCTCTTACATTTGTGATAGCCAATATGACACTAATAAGAAAATTCTGAGAACGTTTGTAAAAGTTTTAGTAATATTGTAATAGTAATCTTTTCCTAATAATTAGTTGTAATCAAGGGTCCCTAGTTAGGGCTATGTTAAGCATAAATTTTAATTGACCCGTGAGAAAAAGTGGGTCCACTGAAAATATCTGATCACATTGTATCCTACTTCACAGAAAGTAAGATTGCATTTGCTGGCTTGTTTCCTATCTGTAGCAGAGGATCCAACAATGATGTTTTATTTATTTGTTTTTCTTTCTAACTTAAATAATCGCAATTGTTGAAATGTTTTGGATTAAGTGATACGTTGTTGGATTTTCTAAAAAATTTTGACACAGGACTTCTGTGTTTAATGTTTCAAAACATTCTTTTCAACACAGTATGTTAGCAAAAACTGTAAAGAGATAAAATCTTAAAATCATAAAAGCAAAAAATATCTCCTAGGAAAGGAATATATTATATTATGCATTATTTTTATTTTAAAGAACAAGGGAGACAAATGATTCTGCTGTGTCAATTTCTAACTGACAAGATCATTAATAGGTTTTTGGTTTTGGAATATAAAACTGCGAGTGAGTGCCATCTCAGAAATAAAAAGAAAGCAAACAAAGGCATATCTATAATAGAAAAAAATGATTCTTAAAAATTGCCCCTACGTTAAGAAATCAAAAACTGTTAGTGAAATCACAGACTCTGAAGGAAACTTTGTTAAAGTATACAAGATGAGGTTTGTGAGGAGAAAAAGGGATAATGGTAGTCAGGCTCCTTCCCATATCCGTAGCTAACTCGAAGCAAAAGAAACTCAGCACTTCTCCCCTTATGTAACCATGTGCCCAGTATGAGTGCTCAGGCTCCCATCATCTGGCAGTGTGCCACTATTGCTTAACCTGTGTGTAAAAGGTGCCGCCACCATGCGAAGGTGTGCCATGCCCTTGCTGGATAATGCTGTCGCCCTTTGAGGTGGGCTGTACCATTTCTGGAATAAAGAGCTATGTCTCAGTTGCCTAGGGCTCCTCAAATTTTCTTCCAACTGCCGGAGTCTCTTACCTCTTACCTTGGAACTGTGACTCTACAACAATACAAGGGTATAGAAACTGGCATTATTTAGTTGGAAGAAAGAGCATAATAATTTTTGAGGTCATGAACAGATTTTATTTTGAGCACACAGATGCCTGAAACTTTTATTATCCTGTACTTAGCTCTAGTTATGCCATCAGCAGGATGATAAAACTTTTTAAAAAGTTATATATAACATCTCTTTCTACAATGTATTTGATCAAATTTACAACAAAAAAAATATACAAAGAAATAAGGAATTAGAAAAACAGAAAACAGGAAGTAACAACAAGAAACAGGATAATATTCATTATGAGCATATACTCTATGAAAGGTACTTGATATATTATTTCATTAAAACCCTGTCATATATCATTATTCCTGTTTTAGTGAGAAACACAGCTTAGAACTGTTAATGAACATTTCCAAGATCACACCTCTTGCAGCAGGAAATGGTGATTTGAGGCTATTCAGTGTAATTAGAAGTAGGAGCTTTTACCATTCTTAAGTACTCTCTCCAAATTTTAACATGGACTCATACAGTTGTGGTAATTGAGATTTAGATATTTCTCCAAGCTACTTAGCAGCCAAGAGGATAAAGGAAAGTACAGTATTCATGATTTTTTTCTCCCTCCATATTCTTAATAAAATCTATCATTTTAGACTTTATGTAGGGAACACCTCATGATGTGGAACAATATGTTAAAAGACTTTTTTTTTTTTTTTTGGTATATCACAAATATAGTAGCTGATTGCTTGTACAAGCTTTGACAAAAGCCAAAGTCATAATATAAAGAGAGTCTATTAAGGACTGAATGAATATGTTTAGCTGTGTTGCCCTTGACCACTTTCAAATGTCCCCTTGACTTATTCTGCCCTTATGCCTCAAACTTTCTGCTCTCAACTCAGAGCCTGTTCTCAATTTTTCATCTCCCTCTAGCTTTGATGCAGATAAATCAGAGGCTAACTGACATGTTCTATCTGCAACTGCCTTCCTTACTTGTTAACTTCTTAAGGAGGCAGGCACCAAGGGAGT